ACCAGGCTGTCTCCTTCCTCTCTGCCTTTGCATTTGCTACTTTCTGTGCTTTTCCCCGCTACTTCGTCAAAAGCAACTGTCTTTCAAACTGCAGCTCGATGTCACTCCCTTTGCGAAGCCTTCCTGACCTGAGTTTTGGTACTGGAATACACCCTGGAATAGTCACCTCTGGGCTATGAAACCGACTCGTGGACATCACGTCTTCAGCCCTTGTCAGGTTGTAAATATTTGTGAACGTTCACGTCTGCACACCTAGACTGAGTGCTCCAGGAGGGCACCCCACGGTTTTGTATATCCAGGGCATGACATAAGACCTGGTCCTGCATTAGCGTTCCTCGAATGAATGAATGACCTCTGCCACCAGTCAGAGTGACAATAGGGCAACGTCCCCTTCCCCAAGAAGACTGATACATTCGAGCTTTGCTGACGCTCCCTGAACTGCCACAAGGTCCCTGTGCATGAGTAATCAAGGAAGTATCCTTAGTATTCTGAGAATCCTTTTCATGGTAGGACACAGGCAGCAATTTCAGAAGGTCGCCTGAGAGAACCACTGAGATGAGCCACTCTGCTCATCTGAATGCCCTTCGTGATGGTTCGTACAGAAATGAGGAAGTGAGACAGCCTCCCTCCTGTAACGAGACAGAGCATCAACATGCTGCTCTTGGCGCCAAGACACCATCCCCTCAGCATGACCTCCTCAGGGTCCCTACTTAACAAATGGGGAATTTTGTCTCCAGATGTTACCAAAGTTCTCCGCTCCGATAACAAGACTCAGAGACCTGGCAACAGCCATCATGGATGCTTCAGTGATTTTCAGCTATCGGTGTTGGGATGTCTGGAATGGCAGGGGGGAAAATATTATTTTTTTGGAGAGGAATATACATATGATTGTAAACTAGCATGAAAAAAGATTTTGTGGCCATCCTATAGACTTCGGATTTTTTAATTTTTGTTTCAATATTTATTTATTTTTGAGAGACAGAGCTCAAGCAGGGGAGGGGCAAAGAGAAAGGGAGACCCAGAATCCGAAGCAGGCTCCAGGCTCCCAGCTGTCAGCACAGAGCCCGACGTGGGGCTCAAACTCACGAACCGCGAGATCATGACCTGAGCCTAAGTTGGATGCTTAACCGACTGAAACGCTCAACAGTATATTTTTGTTATAGCATCTTTAAAAAGATCATAAGGCTAGGGGTGCCTGGGTGCCTCAGCTGGTTGAGCGTCCGACTTCGGCTCAGGTCATGATCTCGCGGTTCGTGGGTTCGAGCCCCGCATCGGGCTCTGTGCTGACAGCTGGGAGCCTGGAGCCTGCTTCGGATTCTGGGTTTCCCTCTCTCTGCCCCTCCCCCACTCGTGCTCTGTCTCTGTCTCTCAAAAATGAATAAACATTAAAAAAAGTTTTTTTAATATACTGTTGCAAAATCTTTCTTACTATACTTTCAAAGAACTTGAGATTATTAAGATACAGTTACTCACTATTCCTTTGTACTACAAACAAACAAAAAAATTAGCATGACTGACACAAAACTAGGCTAACCATAGCTGAGTTGAGATGTATTTTCCAGATACTTTGCTTTAACCTCTCAATTTTTTTCACTCAAGAATAAGTTGCTAACTATTACGTGGTGCGCGATAATACTCTTGTATGATTCTGTCAGCATCTAATTTAATGTCTTTGTTTTGAAAAGTTTTAAAGTTAAAAATTTTGGAATAGATGCATTTCATCTTCTCAGAAATGTGTCCCTTTGGCTTCTGGCCACCTCCATTTGAAAATTCTACAGTGAAAGCATCTAAAAGTTGAGCAGCAGGAACCTTGCAGGGAAGAGGAACACTCTCTCCAGCACAGAGACGGGAGTCCCGGGCACCCAGGACAGTGCTGTCATCTCTTACAGTCGTGAGCACCAAGAATGTCCTCTGTGTTCACAGAAACACTTCACGCTTCTCCAGTGGCTTACTCAAAGCCATTTTTCATGACCCGAGTACCCATGAAAAAGATGTGTCCCTCTCTATCAACACTTAATGAAAACAAAACTTACTGAAAACAACTGAGCCGCTCCCACCGACCTGAGGCACTCTGGCTGGGGCCTCTGGGTAACAGCGTCACGGCTACTCCTTTTCTTAGTCCACTGGCTGTACTTCATGCAAGTCCTTCAAGTTCTTTCCGTGGCATCCCACGTGCCTCAGGTAATAATGGAGGGCAGGGAGTGGGCAGGGAGATGTTGAGTCAAGGCCAGGAGGTCAATCTGATGTCAGGCGGAGCCCGGCACACGTTGGCGTGCAGAATCTGGAGGGGGCTCTGGAGCCTGGATGTCAGTCAGGATTCCAAATTCTTCATCTTACCTACCCTGGCCAGTGGGATCCATTATATCCAGAATGCTCCAGGTTTTGGAATCCAAAACGAAGGTTTTGGAATACATAACTTATATATATATAAGCTTATATAACTAAACACAAAACATTTGGACCTATGGTGTTTAACAGAAAAAAGAAGGAAGGAAGAAGGAACATTCCAAATAATAAAGCATTACCACGTATAATTCACCTTTCGTTCGACTTCAAAATTATAACCTCCCTGCCAGCTTGATAACAATCGAAAAGTCTGACAACGTGCTCTGTTGGTGAGGCTGAGGGGGAACAGGAATTCTCAGATATTCCCTAGTGTTCACAAAAAATGGAAGTTTTTTTGGAAAGATTTGATGATAATGAACAAAATCATCAGTGAACTTACCCTTTGACCAGCCACCACACTCCTCAGCGTCTATGCTATCGATGCCTTGTAAAAGTACAGGCCACATCTGTCCAGGATCAGGCCTTGTGACATAGTCTCCAAGAGCAAACGATTAGAAACAACCCGAATGTTCAGCACTAATAGGGCCTTTGTTCAAAGTAACTCGGTGCATCCACACAGCAGAGTACCATGCGGCCATAAAAGAGGACAACGAGGGGTTCCTGGGTGGCTCATTCGGTTAAGCGTCCAACTTCAGCTCAGGTCATGATCTCACAGTTTGTGGGTTCGAGCCCCATGTTGGGCTCTGTGCTGACAGCTCGGAGCCTGGAGCCTGCTTCGGATTCTGTGTCTCCCTCTCTCTCTGTTCCCCCCCTGCTCTCACTCTGTCTCTCTCTGTCTCTCAAAAATAAATAAAGATTTTTTAAAAAATTTAAAAAAAAAGGGCAATGATTTCCATCTTTTGGGGTAGAGAAATCTACAAGACATATTGTGAAGTTAAGAAAACTATATATGGGTGTGTGTATACTTTCTTTTGTGTGCTTTCTTCTGTATAACAAGCAGGGTTAGAGCAACCAAGTAAGAATATGTATACATAGTTGTTTCTATTTGTGAAAACAAACACTGAAAGGATACCTGTCTGTAGGGGGCAGAAGAAGAAGAACGGAGATGACGTGGAAACAAGAATTCCTGTGTATACCTGTCCATATGGTTTTGATTCTTGAATCAAAAATCTACCTCCAAAAATAAGTAGGGGCATTTGGGTGGCTCCTACTTATTAAGTGTCTGACTCTTGATCTTGGCTCAGGTCACGATCTCATGGTTTGTGCGATGGTGCCCCGTGTTGGACTCTGTGCTGACAGCAAGGAGCCTGTTTGGGATTCTCTCTCTCCTTCTCTCTGCCCCTCCCCTGCTCACACATGCTTCCTCTGTCACTCTCTGTCACAAAAAACAAAAACAAAAACAACCTAAAGAAAAATAAGTAAAGCTAAAGCTGAAAAAAATTGCATTAATCTTCCTCATCGGGCATGGCTCCCTCTGGCTCAAGGACCAGTCATCAGCTCACGGGGGTGGGGTCGGTGGGTAGGGTAGATTCGAAGAGCTACAGCCCGGTGCTTTAGACCGGCCATCAATTCCCCCTTGCTGCTGGTCCTCCGGGTCGATGTTGGGCCTTGGAGCTGAGATCAGTTGGCATTTTGCCACATGCTCATCTTGTTTTCCTGGGATTGGGTCTCGGCCGCTGAATCCCACCTACTATTCTATCCTTCTGAGTTGGGGGCTCCGATGTGCGCAGTTTTATCCTTCACCCTCGCTTGGCCCTGGGGTCTGGTCCCACAACTCTTGGCTGACTGCTCTGGCCTTGGTATCCACTGGTATTTGATGTTGCCTGCCTGTCTGGGTTGCCAAATGTGAGCTCCCTTCTTACTGAACACCCCCGACACCTAGCACCTTGCACCCACCAGCAGTACTACAGTGACTGTAAAAATCCAAAGTCTCTAGCTGGTCCACGTGTCAGGGAAGGCCCGTGACCGGTGGCCATGCTCTCCAGAGCCTGTGTGGAACCAGATGTGCCGCACCTCTCCTGGTTTCCGAGGCTGAATTGGGTTCTGTAGCTTCTGCCCAACTCAACAGATGGGTCAAATTCCAGGGCTGGACACTGCTGGGCTGTTCTAGTTCGCTGCAGTCAGCCCTTCCATGCATACCTAAGCCATAACGAAGGAGCCATTTCCTTCCTTCTCCCAGCACAGGACTACCAATAATTTGGAAGGGGAAATGCCAGGCTTATAAAAAAAAAACAACAACAACATTATTTGTATTTGGTTAGACTTTATTAGGTTCTTTTTTCTCCATTTCTTTCATTCTTCTTTTGTTCTTTCATTTTATAAGTAAAACTTTAAAAACATTTCTCTTTTTAAAAAAAAAATTTTTTTAAGTTATTTATTCTGAGAGAGAGTGCAAGAGGGGTAGGGGCGGGGGGCGGGGGGAGAGTGAGGATTCCCAGGAGGCTCTGCACTGTCAGCACAGATTGTGAGATCATGAGCTGAGCTGAAATCTAGAGTCGGACGCTTAATCAGCTGAGCCACCCAGGAGCCCCTTAAAAAACATTTCTAACATCTTTGGAAAGTTGTAACATTTATAAAGATGTTTATATTCCATTGAAAGTCAATTTGGAGAAATTGTCTTACGTGTTTTGTTCCACTGGCAATCTTCTATGCAGAATTGTTTTTATTTTTATTTTTATTGTTTAATAAAAGGTTTTATTGTTAAGTAATCGCTACACCCAACGTGGGGCTCGAACCCACAACCCCGAGATCAAAAGTTGTATGCTCTACCAACTGAGCCAGCCAGGCATCTCCAGAATTTGCTTCAATAAAATTCACTGGAAAGGCTTTCTTTTTTTTTTTTTTTTTTAATTTTTTCAACGTTTTTTTATTTATTTTTGGGACAGAGAGAGACAGAGCATGAACGGGGGAGGGGCAGAGAGAGAGACACACAGAATCGGAAACAGGCTCCAAGCCATCAGCCCAGAGCCTGACGCGGGGCTCGAACTCACGGACCGCGAGATCGTGACCTGACTGAAGTCAGACGCTTAACCGACTGCGCCACCCAGGCGCCCCAACTGGAAAGGCTTTCTGAAGAAAGAAGGGGCCATGAGGAAAATGTTCAGATAATATACCGGGTGATTTTTTATGTGACATTTGTGGAGAATAATTTAGATTTTTAAAGACCCTCAAATTAAAACGATTTCAGTATGTTCATATTGGCAAATCATTTAGAGAAAAACATTATTTAAGCCTCAATAATTTAAAATTAATTATCATTTGAATAGGAACGAGATTAAAAGTAAATGTATTCAGTGAAAGAGTAAAAAAGAACCAAAAAGCATCAGACACAGACACATCACGCCCCCACCAGTCTCCCTCAAATACACATATGCACCCTCACGCCCCAAGACACATCCCACACCCCCAGTTATACCCAGAAACAGACATACATAAATATCATTAGGAAATTGAAACCGTAGACATTTAAAAAATTATCAGTCCAACAATCTCAAGGATACCTGAACTTAATAGTAACTATTAAATACAAGGATTGAGGAGTAGAGACAGGAGTGGGAAATATCTTCCTATTCAGAAGCACAAAATAACTAGTATTTATTTATTATAGAACACAGGACCTTTCCTGACACCATCGGTTGTTCCATTTATTGCATTTACTTGAAGAAATAAAACAGCATTAAAAATATTCTAGCGTTAGGGGCACCTGGCTGACTCAGGAGAACATGTGACTCTTGATCTCAGGGTTGTGAGTTCAAGCCCCATGCTGAATGTAGAGTTTCGTTACAAATAAAATCATTTTAAAAATATTCAAGCTTTAGACTAATTTAGATTCATTTTCCTCATTTAATCTGAATTGGTGATGTTTTATTGTAATGCATGCTAAAGTCAAATGTAAAATAATTAAAATTTTTTTTAACATTTATTCATTTTTGACAGACAGAGAAAGAGCACGAGCAGGAGAGGGGCAGAGAGAGAGGGAGACAGAATCTAAAGCAGGCTCCAGGCTCTGAGCTATCAGCACAGAGCCTGATGCAGGGCTCAAACCCATGAATGGTGAGATCATGACCCAAGCCAAAGTTGGATGCCCAATCAACTGAGCCACTCAGGCACCCCTAAAATAATTTTAGAGCTTTGTGTGACCTCTCCACCTGGTTAACATAGATAGTTAAGAGTAAAATTATTTTTGAACTGTATGGTAATATGATACCACAACCCACTTTTCATTTCAAAATTAACATTATTTTATAGTAGGGGCGCCTGGGTGGCTCAGTTAAGTGTCTGACTTCGGCTCAGGTCACGATCTCACAGTTCGCAAGTTCGAGCCCTGCGTCAGGCTCTGTGCTGACAGCTCAGAGCCTGAAGCCTTCTTTGGATTCTGTGTCTCCCCCTCTCTCTGCCCCTCTCCAGCTCATACTCTGTCTCTCTCTCTCTCAAAAATGAATACAAAAAAATAAAAAAAATTATTTTATAATATTTTCAGATATTAAATGTATTGCATAGTCATTGAATGAGGTCCAGGCAAAAAAAGTAAGGCTTTACTAGAAAATCAAAATCACCCGTAATCCCACTCCATGGAGAGTATTTATTTAAATGTGGATGTAGGGGCGCCTGGGTGGTGCAGTCGGTTAAGCGTCCGACTTCAGTCAGGTCACGATCTCGCGGTCCGGGAGTTCGAGCCCCGCGTCAGGCTCTGGGCTGATGGCTCGGAGCCTGGAGCCTGCTTCCGATTCTGTGTCTCCCTCTCTTTCTGCCCCTCCCCCGTTCATGCTCTGTCTCTCTCTGTCCCAAAAATAAATAAACGTTGATATAAGTAGATAACTGAGGGGTGGCTCAGTCAGTTAAGCGTCCACCTTTGGTTCAGGTCATGATCTCACGGTTCGTGAGTTCGAGCCCCGCATCGGGCTGCATGCTGATGACTCAGAACCTGGAGCCTGCTTCGGATTCTGTGTCTCTGTATCTCTGCCCCTCCCCCTACTCACGCTGACTCTCTCCCTCTCCCTCTCTCTCAAAAATAAACATGAAAAAAAATGTAATAAAAGTAGATAACTGAGCCAACAGGGAAGAAAGGGAAATCTTCTGGTAGCTGGAGTTATAAGGTTGGGCAGGAAGAACCAGCACCTAGAGAATGGGGGTTGTGGAGCAAACCTCACATGGAGACAAAATGCATGGCCTTGGGTCCACTCCAGATGAATATCTGGAATTAAGATATCGAATTAAGGAAAAGCTCCTGCAAAGTTGCTTAGTCCACAAAAATGGCACTAACAAGATCTCCAATAAGAAAAAGAGCACAGCATCTTGTAATCCTCAAGGCATTGGGTGTGAAGGAAAAAGAAACATCTCTTCCAAGAAATTAAACCAAGCCTGAGTGTAGGATCGAATTTTTTTTTTTAACACTTATTTATTTTTGAGAGAGAGAGAGGCAGAGAGAGAGAGGAGGGACAAAGGATCCAAAGTGCGCTCTGTGCTGACAGCAGAGAGCCCGATGCGGGGCTCGAACTCAAGATCATGTGAGATCATGACCTGAGCCGAAGTTGGACACTTAACCGACTGAGCCACCCATGCATCCCCACCTTTTTTTTTTTTTTTTTAAATAGGATTGAATTTTGTACTAGTTTTATAGAACAAGAATTCTCAACTGACACGCTAACAAAATGCTGGGCGAGAAAAAAAATTTGCTCAAGGCCTGTGAAAACTCTGGGATTCTTGCATAATCAAAAATAAATCCATATCATGGCGGCAAATCCTTAATCTAGGGTACCCAGGACTCCCACAGAAAAGACCACCACTGCTTAAGATGAGCTCACAATAAAAAATTACAAACCATGTGAGGAAATGAAGATGAATCAAAAGACTCAACAATCAGGGCACCTGGCTAAGTCTATTAAGCATCAACTCTTGATTTTGGCTCAGGTCATGATCTCACGGTCATGGGTTTGAGCCCTGAGTCAGGCTCTGCATTCTCTCTCTGTCTCTCTCCCTCTGCCCTTTCCCTGCAGGTGTATGCACTCCCTCTCACTCTCTCTCTCTAAAAAAAAAAAAAAAAAAAAAAAAAAAAAGGCTCAATAATCTGCAAAATTAGTACTCATAGAACTATAGATAATTGAACACTCTGAAAGGGACTATAAACATTACTATGTTTAAAATGATTAAAGAGGTGGGGCACCTGGGTGGTTCAGTTGGTTGAACCTCCGACTCGATTTCAGTTCAGGTCATGAGCTCACGATTCCTGAGTTCAAGCCCCAGAGTCGGACTCTGCATTAACAGTGTGGAGCCTGCTTTGGATTCTTTCCCTCTCCTTCTCTTTCTGTCTCTCCCCTGTTCATGCTCTCTCTCAAAATAAATAAATAAACATTTTTTAAAAGGTAAAATGATTAAAGAGGTAAAAGAAGGATTTGAAATAATGGAACAAAAGGACAATATGAACAGAGAATAAGCAGATTTGAACCAGGACTAAAGTGTACCCCTGGAAATGAAAGATTTATTTCTTCACATTAAAAACTCAGTGAATAAATCATCATGTAAAATGGTCAACTGAAAAACAGATCTGAATAAACCACCTGTAATGCAGCACAGAGATAATGAGATGAAAATATAAAAGAGAATTTATGAGATGTGGAAGACAGAATGAGAAGTACTAATATATACTTCTTTTTTGTCAAAATTTTATTTAAATTCTAGTTAAGGGGCGCCTGGGTGGCGCAGTCGGTTAAGCGTCCGACTTCAGCCAGGTCACGATCTCGCGGTCCGTGAGTTCGAGCCCCGCGTCGGGCTCTGGCCTGATGGCTCAGAGCCTGGAGCCTGTTTCCGATTCTGTATCTCCCTCTCTCTCTGCCCCTCCCCCGTTCATGCTCTGTCTCTCTCTGTCCCAAAAATAAAAAATAAAACGTTGAAAAATAAATAAATAAATAAATAAATAAATAAATAAATAAATTCTAGTTAATTAACATACAGTGTGACATTTCAGGAGGAGCGTTTAGTGATTCGTCACTTACATATAACACCCAATGCTCATCCCAACAAGTGCCCTCCTTAATACCCATCACCCATCTAGCCTGTCCCCCACCCACATCCCTCCACCAACCCTCAGTTTGTTCTCTAACGTTAAAGAGTCTCTTGTGGTTTGTTTCCCCTCTCTCTTTTTTCCCCCTTTCCCTTATGTTCACCTGTTTTGTTTCTTAAATTCCCCATATGAGTGAAATCATATGGTATTTGTCTTTCTCTGACTGACTTATTTGGCTTAGCATAATACACTCTAGCTCCATCCATGTCATTGCAAATGGCAAGATTTCATTCTTCTTGATGGCTGAGTAATATTCCATTGTGTGAGTATTTGTATCTGTGTCACACACACGCCACATCTTCTTTATCTATTTATCAGTCAGTGGACATTTGGGCTCTTTCCATAGTTTGGCTATTGTTGATGCTGCTGCCATAAACATTGGGATGCATGTACCCCTTCAAATCCCTATTTTTGTGTCCTTTGGTTAAATACCCAGGAGTACAATTGCAGAGTCACAGGGTAGTTCTATTTTTAAATTTTTGAGGAATCTCCATACCGTTTTCCAGAGTGGCTGCACCAGTTTGCATTCCCACCAACGGTGTACGAGGGTTCCCCTTTCTCCACATCCTCACCAACATCTGTCATTTCCTAACAAGTTCTTATACTTCTAAGCCACATTCCAGAAAGAAATTTGTAGAGACATTCAAAGAGATAATGAGAGATAATGGCTGAAGAAAAATACTGTTACAATCTACATGTTGTATGGTTTTTTTTTATGTAGAGAACC